CTTCTGTTCCGCTGTCATAGTTAGACTTTGCAGTCGACCAGTCATATTCCCTAAACTCTTTTCAAAAGCTGCTACAAGGTGAGCCTGTGAACAAAACGGAAGGAACACATTTTAAATGTCAGGACCTTACGCAGATGGATGAAAACTCTTCATTTTATAAAATGCTGAACTTCAGGTGTTCTAATTCTTTAAATACTATGACCATCTTGGTTAGCTCTCAGTGATGACTCTCCTTTAACATCAATCTTTATTTATTATTTCTAAACTTCAGTTTAAATTCAGTGTTTCCATTTCTTGACATTTAATGTGAGTTCAACTTCTGAAAAGGGATGGCATTTTGCAAATAATAACACCTTCCGGCCTGCATCTCACAGAGGATTTGACACCCAAAATGCTGAATAAAGTTCTGAGTTGCCAAGTTTTTAGACTTCAAGCTCAAGGGGAGGTCACTGCAGTAGTCAATGGACAAATGTTTCTCCTTTTTATACCTGCATGATGACCTTTGGAGATATTGTTAGTTCCTTTATTGTAATGACACTCTCCTTCAAGTGTCAGACATCTGCTGACAGCTTTAACATTATCTTTCCTTTTTTTGTGCTTACAAAGAATTCAGTCGAAAAGAGTTGTCTTCATTCTCCAAACTCTTTTTAATAAAATGGCTTTTATTTCTACTTTATTCCCTTCAACTAAGGAAGTGCAGGTTGGCCGGCTAGAAATAACACTCAATCATATTTTATTTAAGTTTTCATGGCTTTCGGGTTTTATTTTAAATCTCCCGGAATTATACATATTGCTGTATAAAACCATAACTCTTATGATTAAGAAGTATTTGACAATCTTACGGCTCTAAAATAGGCCCGATTCTGTCGACATGCCATTATCCAACAGCTTCACCCACAGAATATTAAGCATGAAGAAGAGGTCCTTCAAGCTTTCACGGTAGCTTGAGGAGAGCTATAGGGGTGTTATCTCACACTCATCCAATCTTATTGTGCCCTTACAAAGGTGCAATGATGGACTATTTCACAGCCTACACCTACAATGAACTATGTGTGGGAAGAAATTTGGTAATCTTCGGCAAAAGATTAATTCTTTGAGGGAAGGGAGTAAAGGACTTCTTAAAATACATCACCTTGTAACTCTAGCAGAGCTGAAACGCTGAGGTAACTATTATCAGATGAATCACAGGAGTCCAAGGAATTAGGGCACTAGAAACATTCCATTATTGGTAACAGCTAGAGGTTTATTTCATTATTAATAACAGCCAGAGGTTTATTCCATTATTGGTAAGAGCTAGAGGTTTATTTCATTGTTGCCAACAGCTAGAATGTACAAGTCCCTTCCATTAGCATCACGACACAAAGGTGTCTTTGTTCTTAGCTCTGAGCTTATGCTGGGCTGGGCTCCCTTTCTTTTCCTGACATTGCTATATAGAGAAGGATAATTGGTGGAGAATACTTCTATTCATCTTCAGTCTACCAGAACAACTCTTTATTCTTTTTCCACTCCCTCTTCTCTCTTTCTCCCTCCCCCCCAAATTGTCTCTCTCTCTCTCTCTCTCTCTCTCTCTCTCTCTCTTTCTCTCTCTCTCTCACACACACACACACACACACACACACACACACCCTTGAGAGTTCTACTCCAGGGTTCATTAGCAGATTTAATTGGAAAAATAACAGTCTTTTAAAAAAAAAGGAATAGTAGGGGTGCCTGGGTGGCTCAGTCGGTTAAGCATCATGACCTTGTGGTCCATGAGTACTGGCCCTGTACCGGGCTCTGTGCTGACAGCTCAGAGCCTGGAGCTTGCTTTGGATTCTATCTCCCTCTCTCTCTGCTCCTCCCCCACTCGTTCTCTCTCTCTCTCTCTCTCTCAAAAATGAGTTTCAATACTTTTTTAAAAATTAAAAAATAAAAAAGGAATTGTATCTTGTAGTTTAAAATGTTTTCAATGGCAAGGAATAGCATTACATCAGACTTAATATTTCAGAAATTAACATAAGGTTATGTTGTATTTTCTCTCACGCGTAAACTTTTTTATTGTGAAAATAATTCCTGCCATATTAAAAGTGAACAAAGTGAAAATGCGGCTGTAGTTTAAAATGTTTTCAATGGCAAGGAATAGCATTACATCAGACTTAATATTTCAGAAATTAACATAAGGTTATGTTGCATTTTCTCTCACGCATAAACTTTTTTAATGTAAAAAAAATTCCTGCCATATTAAAATTGAACAAAGTGAAAATGCAGAGCTCACTGGTTCATCAGTCACCAGCCAAGTCCAGAAATTGGACATTTGAAGATGTTAGAAGTTCTCTCTTACCTCTCCCCTATTACTGTCGCCTCTCCCTGCCCCAAAGATAACCACCATTATCGCAACATTGGTGGTAATTATTGTCTTGCTTCTCTCTATAGTTGCACCACTGAGCTTGCATTCCTAAACACTATGTTTTAGCTTTGTCTATTTTTAAAACTTTCAGAGTGGAATCATATGGCACAATTATTTTGTGACTTTTCTTTTGCTTAACATTGAGTTTCTGAGATTCATCCAGTGGTAAGCAGCAGGAGTTAGATTTTGCTGTAATGCATTGCTCTATGTGATTTATAATGTATTTGTCTATGACTGACCATTTTGTGCTGATTCTAGTTTAGATTATAATCAATAATCATGCTGTGAGCATACAATAGGTTTCTAAATCCTAAAATAAAATTGCTCATTTTCTTTTAAAATAGTGAAAATTCTGGCCAAAAACCATTGTTAACATGTACTAAAAGAAATGTAAGAATGTACTCAATATTGCAGTTTTAATTCTCTCAAACAACTGTAATGCCTAATTATTGGATGTAAAAACTAGAAGAAAATTTATACTTTACCTTCTATGCATATTTTATCAGTTGAATGGGAGTTAAAATGACAAAGAATGTAGGAATGTGAGTATGCCGAATAAATATATTGTCTGTATTTTGGAGCTATAAATATATTGCCTATAATTTGTAGCTATTAATTAATACAAAATGTTCACTATGAGAATGTCAGTTTTCAATCTTTGGAACATTGCTACTCATTAATTATTCATAAGAAATGTATAACTGGTTACCAAAGAACATTTTGAGTCACATCGTTCTCCATGAAAAATATGTTAGAGGTATGTTACTGAAATACTGCTTTTAAGTTTATTTGTCTTGGCTTACTAACTTTGTTACTTTGAAGGTAATAAAAGGATAAACTTCTCACCAATTGGATTAATGGAAAGAGAGTACAAGATACAAATAAAAGAAACTAAAATGGAAAGTAAAACTGATTAAACTATAGGACAATATATCTCGTCCGAAAACCTTAACAAAATTATGACTTTTTAAAAATTGTGGATTTTTAGAGGGACTACTGATCATGATTTACTTGGGTCTTACTTCTCCATTACCAGCTGCATAATTTGAAAGCCAGAGTAAAATTGTGTCAATATGATAATGACTACATCCCAATGTGTGTTAGGTGAAGTCTGTCAAGGTAATAAAATAAGCAAGACTGAAGAGTAGTTACGGATGGTATTTCTAATACATACTGACTTCAGTTTTTGAATCCTAGAATACAATCTGAATAGACATGTAAAGAGAATTATCATACTGCTAAACAGTAAGGTGAAATATTATGAAAAATGCCTGCATTATATTTGTTCCCCCAGAATTTAGTAATGGTCCACCAAACAAAAAATATACATAGGTTTTGGTGGAGATATATCTATCTATCTATCTATCTATCTATCTATCTATCTATCTATCTATCTATGACTTTACTTTGGAAATCAATAGATGAACTGAAAATAAATGAAACTATCATAATTAAGGTTTCACATTTCTTCTACACATTATAAAATTGTCCCTTCAGTTTTTGTCATTGTTAGTATATGCAAAACTGTTTTCTGTTAAAGGAGATGCAGAAAAGCAAGAGTAACTGCCAGGTTATATAAAAATATTAAATAAAGCAAAAAAAAAAAAAAAAAAGGACACAATCCTAAACAAAATAATACATTTGAGATTTGGGGCTAAAATACCAATGCGCTGAAAGGAAAAAAAATAAGTACCTTTTTTTTTTGTGACATGTTCATTCAATGGTACCTTTGAAAAATGGTAACAATAACTAGCCTCAGCACCTACTTCTAGATGATCTAAGAGCTGAGATTTGTACAACAAAATATATTAGAACACAAAGAAATGCTTCCCACATGTCTTGGCTGCAGAAAGGTGTGAGTGAAAGGCCAGGGGGCACCTGACTGTATGATGTGACTATACATTTGCAGCTGCTTGCTTGTGGGGCTTCTGTTTTCTTCCTGTGCATGTGTGGGGTATTGATTTAGCTAAGGTCCGACCACATACTTTCTTTCCTTTCCTTTTTTTTTTAATTTTTATTTATTTTTGAGAGAGAGAGAGAGAGAGAGAGAGAGAGAGAGAAAGTGCTTGAGCAGGAGAGGGACAGAGAGGGAGACACAGAATCAGAAGCAGGATCCAGGCACTGAGCTGTCAGCACAGAGCCTGATGCAGGACTCAAGCCCAGGAACCCTAAGGTCATGACCTTCAGGTGATTTCAGAAGATTTATAAAATGCATTATGAAGTAAAAAAAAAAGGAGCATGAAAAATAGGATATAATTTTAGGCTCCTTTTCATGTGCAAAAAGTTCTGCTAATGATAACATAGATGTAGCCAGAGGAAGCTGGATACATTTGGGCATTTTCTCTAAGACTAGCACTTTTTAAACAAAATTATCTATTTGACACTACTTCCTCTAATTCTGTATTCATTCTTTTTTTTTTCATTATTATTCCTTGAGGAGATATTATAGATGCTTTTTCTTCTTTTTTTTTTAACTTTTTTTTTCAACGTTTATTTATTTTTGGGACAGAGAGAGACAGAGCATGAACAGGGGAGGGGCAGAGAGAGAGGGAGACACAGAATTGGAAACAGGCTCCAGGCTCCGAGCCATCAGCCCAGAGCCTGACGCGGGGCTCGAACTCCCGGACTGCGAGATCGTGACCTGGCTGAAGTCGGACGCTCAACCGACTGCGCCACCCAGGCGCCCCTAGATGCTTTTTCTTCTAATAGCACCCTTCCTCCATGACATTTTAGCACCAGAGATATGCTGGATACTTTTTTATGCACTCCATGTATATCTGTGCTTCCATGTATATCTGTGCTTTGTGCATAAAAAGAGTAAGTTTTTTTTTAACCACACACACACACAAAAAAAAACAATTTTCACCCTCTGGTGGTCATATCAATGCTCAGCTGAGAATATGTGAGCCAAAGTCATGAAAACACATCAGTGAAAACAGTGTGGTATGCATGATTAAAGGAGAAGTGGTAGGTAGCCAATGGCTGACAACTTTAAAAAATTTTTGCTCCCTTTCCAAACAATGGCACAGAGTCGAATTTCAGGACTGTTCCCTTATGTTAAAATTTGGTTGCTCACGTGTGTGTGTGTGTGTCTGTGTGTATGTCTGTGTGTGCGTGTGTACAAGCCTTTGCAGGTGTGTGTTGCATCTATGTATTCATGGGAATAAAAAGATCAAAGTTGGAAGGATACATAAGAAACCAACAACCGAATGTTACACAGCCATACAAAAGAATGAAATTTTGCAATTTGAGACAACATGGATAGACCTAGAGGGTGGTATGCTAGGTGAAATAAGTCAGACTGAGAAAGACAAAAACCATATGACTCCACTCATACATGAAATCTTAAAAGAAATGAACAAACAGAAGGCAGAATCAGAACCGTAACTACAGAGAACAAATGGATGGTTGTCAGAGGGGAACGGGGTGTGGGGGTGCTGGGCAAATAGGTGAAGGGGAGAGGGAGATACAGGCCTCCAGCTATAGAAGGAGTAAGTCACAATCATAAAAAGCAGAGCATAAGGAATACAGTCATATAGTCAGTGATATTGTAATAGTGATGTAATGGGACAGATGTAATGGCACTTGTGATGAACACAGAATAATGTATAAACTTGGGAAATCACTATGTATATAGTGATATGTACAAATCACTATGTATATAGTGATATAATATATAGTATATATATAATGTATAAACTTGGGAAATCACCTGAAACTAATGTAACATTGTATGTCAACTATACCCTCCCCCCAAAAAAGAAACCAATAACCATGTTTAGGAAGGGAGTTTTCTGAGGGAAAAACAAATACACACTTTTTATTGCATCCATTTTTCTAGTTTGAGTTTTCCTTTTTAACAGAATATTAATATAATGCGTTTTAAATGGAAATAGTTTTAAAAATACCGTGTAAAGCCCAAATTCCATAATGTATAGCAGACATTTATCATCCTAACATCTGAATATATAAACCCATGCAAGAGACATTTATGAAATAAAATAAAATCCTGAGTAATCATTAAAGACATCTGTAAATATCTTGACTCTCCAATCCATAGGGTCTATCATTGAGCCTTCCTCATTGCAGATAAACACAATTCATGTGTTTCTGGCATTTACATTGTAATATGTTCTCTGGGTGCTGAGTCAGGAACCTAGACTGAGTGTTTTACAGTGTTATTCATCTAGCCTATAGTATAAAATTTACAGTTGCTTCTGAACTATTTCTTTAAGAATTATTCTTAAACATAAAATATAGGTTAAATAATTCTGTCCTCTTTCAGTACTGCCTAAAAATTCTCTAAAACCTGCCATTATTTTTAACAACCCCCTAACAACATCGATAAAAATGAATACAGCCAACCCCAAATTAATTTGATTCTTCCCACGTTGAAAAGATAAAATCAATTCAAATCCAGTGCTGAAATGAATACATGGTGGGTTAAAAAGACTTACTTCTATACTGTGGAAGTTATATTGCACAATAATTTTTATCCTTAAAATCTCTCTTAATCAGCTCGTACCCCATGGGCCTACACCTGCTCTCTCTTGCCCTGTCATGCTTTGTCTAGGAGATAGAAAACCTCAATGGAGAGCAGAGTGGTGAGGCAGAGGAAGGGCCCAGAGCTACACGCTTCAACTGAGCAGATTAATGTTGAGTGCAGGTGGCAGGGCGTATGGCAAAACAGTGGGAGCTTCCTTACCCCTCACTGGTGTTTCTAACACTAATGTTCCTTAGGACCAGGCACAATGTCACAGGCTCTCCTTTCTTATTCTGCATCTATTCTGAATATTCCTGGCACATTGAAAGATATTCAATAAATGTTAATATTATTGATGGTCATTGGCATCATTTTTGCCATTCTCAGCTGGTCAAACTGCTATGAGAAGACTGCCCAGGTTTTTTAGGGAACTCTCTCTCATTTCCAATATAGCTTGGATACCCAAATGTAGACCTAAGTTAATTTTTTTTATAATTAATTGGGTGCTTAACTAATTGCCCAATAAATTGTGCTGAAGAATGCAGGGCACATAGAATTTTTTATCTTCCAAAGTTAATCGCTGTCAACCACCAACTGTATTGTGGTTTGAAAAATATCTACGGAGAGTAATAAAAATAAGACATAAGAAAAGAAATAGCCCTTGTAACTCTTACTAATGTTTCCAACCTAAGAAGAAACAAAAGCCCTTTAACCACGTCAATTTGGGTTTACATTTTATTACTTGGCATGCAGGGAAGTTTACGTTTGTATGAGTGACTGAAGGCTGTTTTATTTTTGGACACTTAAAGTTTGTGAGGCTGTTACTAAAATTATTCCATTTACTATATAAAAATCTATTCTAATATATCAAAAAAATCAAGAGTGACTTACATTTGCTGAAAGTTGAGATGTGAGGGTAGCAACTTTTTCTTGCGATGCAACCAGCTCTCGCCGCAGTTTATGGATTTGCTGAATGTAATTTAAAAAAAATCAATTCAATATGCTAGTGGATTGTTACTTAAAACTAAGAATCCAATCCAAGAAAGCAAATACTATATTCCGCTCATGCAGCCCCTTAATTACTGTATCAGCACCAATTCCTGAAAAACCAAAGAAATGTGAACACTAGCTATACAGTAACAGTCAAATACCATGTATAAGAGAAGTAAGTGACTATGTTCAATATGACCTTCAAGGTCAGGACTCACATTTGCAAATTAAAATTTTTTTTAACATTTATTTATTTTTGAGACAGAGAGAGACAGAGCATGAACGGGGGAGGGTCAGAGAGAGGGAGACACAGAATCCAAAGCAGGCTCCAGGCCCTGAGCTGTCAGCACAGAGCCTGACGCGGGGCTCGAACTCACGGACCACGAGATCATGACCTGAGCAGAAGTCGGATGCCCAACCGACTGAGCCATCCAGCTGCCCCTCAAATTTGCAAATTAAAGGAATGTACTGAAAGTTTTAGCATGGAGGCTAGCATGGAGTTTTAGCAAAGAAAAAAAAATACTTTTTGTTTTGTTTTGTTTTTTAGTATGTGCTTTTAAAAATTTTCTAGTTTGGCAACTTCGCAGCATTAGACTATCCCTTAGCCACTGAAAGTTGGCTCCGATCCAATGTGTAATGATTCCATATTTGAAAATAATTTTATTAGCTGGAGTTTTAATGGCTAACATTCTGAGAGATGCCTTCCCGAATCTTTATTATAATGCCTTTTATTCATTGAGCTACTATTAGCTCAGACTAAAAATGTTTTATAGATTAACCATAGCTTAAGAGGGGAAAAAATCAGTAATGCTGTTCAAATAATGAGATAAACCAATAAAATAAATATGCTAAAACGTCTACCTCTTTAGCTAAGTTCACACTGTACCAAAACTGAACCAGAGGAAGAGAGTAGTTCATATCACATTTAAATTGTTAATGTAAGCACTTTCTGCAGTTAAAACTCTGTGTGTGTCTCATGTTGCTAAGAAATGTAAACAGCGATTAGTAAGGGTAAAACATCTACAGTCATCTGAGACTAAGTCTACTGGTCTACTTCTGGTCTCCAGGGATTTTAGTTATTTAGATGCTAAACATTCTACTCTAATTCTTCTCCTTTCTCTAAAAAGAAATCTTCTATTCTTGTGGTTGGACTGTTGGAATACTGTCTCAGTTTGAAAGAGCATTCTTGACACAGTTCAGCGTCTTCTCCCCCACTTTTTGGCAGAAAAGAAATGGTAGTCAATGTCGAGAGACTCTAAAGACCTTGTGAATTTTAAGCTGGAAGCAGAGACGGTGAACATTTATATAATTTCAGCAAATGTGATCCCATTTCACTCCAGTTTTTTTTTTTTTTTTTTTAATAGATACACCAGCCCCAAATAGCATTGCACTGACTTGCATTCAAATGATGATGACCAGACAGTCCCAGAAAACAGACCATATACTTTATCCTAAACCAACACAAACTTAAGGAGCCTTTCTCAAGATAATAGCCTCTATTACATGATCCTTTACAAATTAACCCAGGAAACCTTAAAGGAAAGGAAATTATTTTTTAAAAACCGTCATCCATTAGGAGGCAGAGATGACAAAAAGGGGAGATGGGTAAGGACTAATCAGGCAAATAGGCAGCATTTGTTTATCTCAGCAGCCATATTACGACCAAATTAGCACTGTCAGGTCCATGCAATATAAATAAAACACTTTAGGTTTTTTTTTTTAAAAAACATACTAACTTTTTGGTCTAGCAGTGATAAAGATCAAATGCTATAATCAATACTATTTCAGTATTTTTAAGCATAGCATAAATTTTCCTTTAAGGGCTAATAAGGGCAGAGATCCTTTGCAAAGGCTATTGCCAAGACATTGATTTTCTCTGTGGTCTGACTGCCTCAGTGTAAACCAATCAAATATCATTACCACACCTTGAATAAAGTCCTAATTAAAGTCCTCCCGCTCTCCTTGGATAGGAAAATTCTTTTACAAAGTGAAATAAAAAGGATACTCTCTCCAGGTTGCAATCTGATTGGTACATGATTGAGACAAAGTGCATTTGTGAAATGTGTGTGATTAGAACAATATACCACACTAGACATGAAGCGGTGATTAGAGCGGCAAAGTCCCGGCATGAAACAGATGGACTGTGATGCTGGTAGCTCTGTTATGGAGGTCTGATGCCTAAGGTTCAACGGTTTCGTTAATCCTATGCAGTTAGTCTCACAGGCTTGGGGAAAAGAGACTACAATGAATTGGAAAGACCACACATTCATTCATTCATTCATCAGATCTAATGAGTGCTTACTACTACAGGCAAATTTTTGGTTGTTGATCTAAAACTCCATTCTAGAATGTAAGAGGTAAGTTTGCTTTTAAAAACTTCCTTTCATTTTCCTTAAGAGTAAATATCCGAGACCATTTATCAACTAGAGGATCACTTCTGTTGGCAGTGCTGGAGAGCTATGCTACTGTATCACACAGCCCTCTAGTGGTACCTTCATTTCATCACAGATGTAAACAAAGAGTGGAATATGAAAACGCTACAAATTTTACCTCTGAATGAGCTTTTTCTTCAGCCTGTAAAAGACAAAAGGAAAAAAAAATTAACTATAAGTGACTAATGTCATTTTGCTCCACAAGTATAAATGTATAATTGTACTGTATTAAAAATATTATTATGATCCAACCTAAGACAATTTATAAATTATTATTATTATTATAGTAAAATACATGTTAAAATTTCATAGTATTATAAATTATTGTTATATTTATACTATACTTACATGTTATAAATATTAGACTAATATTCTATTATTATAACAGGAACCGTTAAGATTGCAAATGAGTACTTCCTTATATACAAATGATAAAATTTTTTGAAAATGTAGGTTATTTGATTCATGGATATATAATATGCCTTAAAAGCAAAGTTAGAATTAAAAGACAATGTTATTCTAAGATTCAGACCATAAGCAACAAAAACAAAAGTAATCATAACATTTCACTCTAAAAAAGATGGGTGTAGGAAAAAATGAAATATTGGACTTTTTCATACATATTAGAAAATACACTCCATGATATTATAGACATCATTAGCCACGACTTGGGAGTCAGAATTTTATTCTGTGATTTACAGATCATAAAAATGCCAAATAAAGCTGGAGGGAAAATATTGACCTCTACTGATAACTGGGTAAAATCACTTTATTAGTTTCTGTCTTCTTTTACTGTCGCTAATGATTATTAAGTTTACTGAGCTGCAAGTCAGCAAAACATTAAAATTCTCCGCGTCAAGATGGTGATGAAAGTGGCTGACAAACATCTTTGGTCATACACATTATGCAAATAAGGACTGCTTTAGGAAATTGAAGGCTGTTTTGGACTCAGTTGCAGAAAATTCCCAGCTCTGTTTTTCTTCTTTGTGCTGGGCTGCAAAATGCCAGAAAATGAGTTATGTAAACCATTACATTTGGGAAGCTCCCTTATTCTGGAAAAAGGTGGAGAATGAATAATACCGCTGAACAGTACAAATCGGCTCATTGCACTGATCAATTTCGAAGCTAAAAAAATTTTTAAAAACTCTCATTTCCTATCTTTCTTTTGGGGACATTTCCTGGTTGATTGATACAAAAGTACCTGAACCACTTTTTTTTTTTTTTTTTTTTTTTTTTTTTTTTTTTTTAGAAAATATACAATAAAACAAAGTAACAACATAAACATCAAGGTATTTTTTTATGCATAAGCATTTTTGAGTTTTCCCTTTCCTGTATTTTCTCTACTCTTAAAAATAATGTATCGTTAGTAATATTGTGTTGGAATAACAGAGTGGTTACATAGTAAAATCCTAATAGCCTTTATAAGAAAACTGTGTTTTAAAAATAAATGCTAACATAAAGCTTGAATATTTTACATCTCAATTTTAATTTTTAAGTGAAGATTTTATTTTTTAATTCTAATAGTTTTAAGGTTTCCTCAACAGTTGGCGTTTGAATCGGAAGTAGGGAACTAATTTTAAGATGGAAATTTCACCTTAAAGAAAGCTGGAAGTTATTTGCCTTAAGATATATGGCACAATTAGCTATGACGATTTGTTTTCCCTAGAACTTGGCATGTTTATTGCCACTATATTTTGCCCAAATCCTGCTTCAAGGCCTGCTAGCATTATATAAAACTGATAATAAATAATTTGTATCTTAAAAAACGCAATGCATCCTATTTAACAAAAAAGTCAAGAAAGATATTCATATTTCTCATTAAAAAAACCTTGACTAAGTTATTTATAATACTCATAAGTATAACCATTACATATTAATTCCATATGGGTTGTATATAATGATTTTTCTCATTGCTATATTTTCACAACTATCTTTTCCTTTAATCTTTGCCTTCTTTCATACCTCATGGCTATTAGTACTAGGTAGGTGTTACCATAAAGTGGAAGCACTGAGGCAGAATATCAATATTATACTTCTTTCAGCAATTCAGGCACAGAATTAATAACATCATGAAGAAATATGATTACTTGCCATTTTTAAATGATGGTTTTGAACCAAGTTCAATGTCTGGAGAATGGTAGACAGTATAAAACATTTTGCCTAAATAAAATTATATCAGATGATTCTTTACTCCATAAATCATTAATTAGCCTTTCATTCACCCATTCAAATTTACTAAAAAAAATTACTTCAGTATTAGTTGTGTGTTAGGAAATATGCTAAAGGGATCCACAACAAACCAAACATGTCCTCTGCTCTTATTAAATCAATATAAATTAGATTCCAGGTACAAAAAAGATTCAATCAAGTTTTTAATATACAAGTCCAGTCAGAAAAAAAAAGCTATTTATTGCAAGGATCAACAATTTCAGTGCTTAAAAGGACCAGGAATATAAAGAATATAAAAGGCTCTGGGAATTAAAAAAAAAAATCATACAGCCTCCCTAGGCTTTTATTTTCCCCACTTTTCATAAAGATACAGATAATCAGGAGTATGTCTTTCCTTCGAGAAATTAAACAGCACAATAATAACTAAGAACCCGAACTCAGCTTCAGTGTCAGGAAGAAAAAAGGTTGTGGAGGCGGGAACCGGCCTGAGAATATACTCCAGCATCTAAAGGGATGATGCCAAGTGACTGTAAACCTGGAGGAATTCATCTCAGTGTTACTAGATATTCAGGTTACATTAAAAAGAACTTAGAAATTTGAATTTTTAGATAAAACCTCTGGATTTCACAGTGTTGGCTTGGATTTTAAAAGAAGCACACAAACTCTAAGTTTGCCAAAGGTAAGAACTTGGCAGATCAGATTAGGCCTATGATTTTTTTAATGTTTATTTATTTTTGAGAGAGAAAGAGAGAGAGAGAGAGAGAGAGAGAGAGACAGAACATGAGAAGGGGAGGGGCAGAGAGAGATGGAGACAGAAGCCGAAGCAGGCTCCAGGCTCTGAGCTGCCAGCACAGAGCCTGATGTGGGGCTCGAACTCACAGACCGTGAGATCATGACCTGAGCTGAAGTCAGTCAGATGCTTAACCGAGCCACCCAGGTGCCCCTAGATCAGGCCTATGATTTCTGATCAATATGTAAATTCCCTTTCTGCTCAGGAATATTCTATCAGGTGATAATCCTCAACTTTGCAACACAATACTTTTGAAAAATTTACCAAACTGTAAGTTGTAGAAGCGTTAAAAGATCTATAGGTAAAGAATCCTTCCAATGAGACTTGTTAGATTGGTGATTTTATAGGCAAATGTTCTTTGCAACAGGCCATTGTTATTAGTTTGTTTTAATATCTTGAAGTGCAATACATCCAGCAAAATATATAATCCTGTAAGTTGTATAAGTGTTAATGTTATATGGATAATGTTAGAGTAAACATGGTTTATACTCATGGTTGACGAGAGCAGTGTTTTGTCTAGTAAGAGCAGATAGTGTCTAATATACTACTTAAAAAAAGAACTTTTTCTCCTCCTAGACACTTGAATTATTTGATGAAGGAAATAACCATGCACAGCTATGTTACTACACTACATAAATTCAAAAGATGCAATTCACATCAACTATGATATAAATGGTGCTCCTAGAATCACTGTGTATCAAAAATTTATAATTTTTGTTATTTTTGGTATACAACATTTCTGGTCTTCCCTAATAATTACACAAAACCCTTGAGACAGATGGGATAGATCTGGCTGTTGTTTTCCAATTTGATTTTACAGGTATAGTCCAAAGAAACTTAGCAACTTTTCTGATGTCACACAGTAATTGCTGATAGAGTTAGGCAAGAATGCAAATCAACTGAATCTTGATCTAGAGTCCTTAAGAAGGCATGAAAAATAATGACAAACTGACTTTTTACCTCATGGTTCAAAAAATACTTTCACAGATATTTTCTCATTGTCAGTGGAATCTAAGTGAATGATAATGGGGGACTGAAGTCAGAATGACTCCTCATCATCTTTGATTTTTGGTTTTTCTTTTTATTAGTCCTCCAAATATGCATTTATTTGAATTGTTTAACTATAGGTTATTTGTGAACTCAAGAATATAATTTCCATCATTTTCAGGACAACCACGTACAGTCTCTGTGGCTTGAAGACCTGATACATTCTTTTCACACTTAACACAAAGGTATATTTCATTTCTAAGTTTTGGCATATAGGTATATGTATGTAGTCACTTTCGTCTCTGTTCCTATCATATATTGCACTCTTACTACATACTCCTCATGTATGCTTTCTGATTGTCCTTATCGTACAACATCTACTCCTACTTATCTACAATTATTAAAATGAAGCCCCTTGTTCCTTATGAACCTGCAATACCCAATATAGAAGCTACTAGACATACGTGCCTATTTAAATAATTTAAATTAATTAAACTTAAAAATTCAGTTTCTCTGTTACCCCACACTTTAAACAGTCAATAGCCACATGTGGCCAGAGGTCACTGTACTGGACAGTGCAGCTAGAAAACCTTCTTATTGTCATATAAAGTTCTACCGGACTCTGGTACATACTAATCAGCCATCTGTTTTCCCTCAAACCAAGCTCCTTTTCTTCTGGAATCTTTCTCAGGCTGAATGAAGGCAGTTTTATTCAAATGGTGGTTTTGCATATATTTAAAATATTACGATCATGCTGCATCGTTTGATGCTATGTAGGGACTTCGGCCGCAATGCTTTAGGTCAGAGGTCATCTCCTGAGCACACAGTGGCCCGGGGCCAGTGAGGAGGGTTAAGTGTTAACACAGTTCTTTTATGTGTTTTTGCCAAAACATTTCACCTTTCTACTTCTTATCCACTTGCCTAAAGGATTACATTTAAACAATAATAGTGATTTCTTCATTTACAGAGTGTAATTGGCAAATTTAATCATGAAAAGGAGACATGATGAGAAAAATATTGCTTTTCCCAGTAATATTTCTGATCTTGTGTAACTATCCAAAGCAATAAATATGTGAGATGAGCTTATAAAATGAGGGCCCTAACATTTAAGCCTAATGAAATGAGTGAAACAATTAGCGTTGCCCATCAGGCTTAATTGCTCAGTGATGGCCAAGACTGAACTTTTTATGAACCTCAGCTCTGGCTAAGAACTATTTGCACTGCTGAAGTCTCAGTGAGATTCAGTAAATGAAATACACCTCACTTTTACTTAGGCATGAAGGAACCCTCCTATTAAATATAACATCCTATAGATTTTCTTCTTTTTTTTTTGCAAAAAAAATGAAATTATATTAAGTGGACAGGAAGCTCATCTTGGCAAAAACAGATTATAACTGCACACATCAGGAAAATAAGTTGAAACATCGGCATTTTTCTCTTTGCAGAAATAGTTTTAAAAATCATTCTATTTCAGGGGCGCCTGGGTGGCGCAGTCGGTTAAGCGTCCGACTTCAGCCAGGTCACGATCTCGCGGTCCGGGAGTTCGAGCCCCGCGTCAGGCTCTGGGCTGATGGCTCAGAGCCTGGAGCCTGTTTCCGATTCTGTGTCTCCCTCTCTCTCTGCCCCTCCCCCGTTCATGCTCTGTCTCTCTCTGTCCCAAAAATAAATAAACGTTGAAAAAAAAATTAAAAAAAAAAAAAAATCATTCTATTTCAGAAGGTATGTATTTTTAAGAGTCTCTAGGCCTTTTACGCCTTTACACTTTGGCACAGAGGAACTTGAAAAATTAAAATAAGAAAATGGAGAAAATACCATTGAAGAATTACCAGTCATGGCTCAGAGAACCAAACAAGGAAAACCAGTCAATATTATAAATTTATGGGAGAGTACATGGTTTCAGCGATTCCCAGTTATACCCCAAGAGGTCTTACGAAACTCAGTTTTTCATGCACTCATTGATTTTAATAAGTACATAAAAGTCCAGCGAAAGCGCATAAAACTGGGCCACAGAAGGTCCGGGAAAGCACCCGCCAGCTATTGGTTATGGTAGCTGAGCGTATGCCCTCATTTCACTGTGCAACTTCTGTGTAAATGTCAACCTATTTAATCACTGTGTGCTTGGCCGAGGCAGAAGCTCCTTGTTAACAACGGATACTTACTGTTGAGTAAAGAGAAGAAGTGCTGGAGACCAGTGATAATGAAGAGCCGTGAACTGGAAAAAGCAAAAACGAACAAGAGGTAAAATAATGAAGCGTGCTCAGAAACACCCGGCCTTTGCTAGAAAGTGGAGACTAGGCAATTAGGGAAATAAAATAATACAGCTAGATACAAAGATCTGAGAACAATTCTCCTGCCATTTCTTGGAGGTCGAAATGTTGAGACATGGGAAGGTCCCATACCTGTTCTCCTAAAATATCTCCCTCATCATGTTATGGAGAGGATTTGGCCAATACAAGCCCTGTAGGCATGCTGTTGACAGATTCAAAGTTACAGTAAACTTCCACATAATAAATTACCAGAAAATCATGGAAACCTAAAGTTGCCATAAACTTATGAACTTAAAAAAAATCTCTTTATTTTATACATTTTCTTTATTTATTTAATTTCATTTATATACAACAAAGGTCCATTTTCAATGTTTTTTCTCCATATACTTTCAGGGACATAAGCATTTTATTTAACTTGCTATTTCAACATTATCTGTGATGAGTTGATAATACTCATTTAAATGGAGAATTATTGTTTCTTTTGTAGTTTTAGTAATGGAAAATTACTTATTTCAAGGTGGTGTCTCAATGAAATTAAGAATGGAAATTGAGTACTGGCTTTTATCTAGGTATACCAAAATAACATCTTAGGCAAGTGGTAGACTGCTTTGTATTTCTCGGCAACTAATGTGTTAAGCCCAAAAGGTAGATAAAATTGTGCTTAATTATAGTTATAGAAAAGCCCTTCCTCTTTTCATTGTGGGATAATATAAAGTTATTTCTGCATACTCATCCATTAAATAGTAGTTGGTCCCACCCAATGTGACAGGTCCTTTCTGGATCCTGAGACTATAAAAATTATGACACAATCCTAGGAGCTTGAAAAGAAGTAGAAAGATATTCAACTAAGAAGATAATTATAAAAGAGTAACATAAATACTACTGAGAGCAATACAAGGGGTACAGCAAGGACACAAGGTTGGTGCTCACAACCTGGTCTGGAAAGGCTGGCAAAGCCGTGCAGGATTGTGGCAGTGTGGCTCAAAAGAAAGGGATGAATTTGAGGGACATCAGGAAGAACCTCTTTAAAACTGACTGACTATAAATGCGGGTCAAAGAGGAAAGAAGGACAACCCCCAGATCTCCAGCTGGAGCACCTCCTACCACTGTGTGAGATGTGCAAAATGTTAGTCATCTAAAGAACACAAAACAACCAAACAAAATCCCACATTCTTTCAACCTCTAATAACACCAGAATGGACTAAGATTTTCAACACGGTGTAATGAATTGGGAGAATGAATGGTGCAATGAATTGGGAGATCCCATTTTTTGGTCTGTTCCTGCTACTTACTATTTATAGGTCTATGGACTCCTAGTTCGTGGCACGTTCCTGATCTTCACTGTGAGCATTGAGCAGGGAGGGCATCAATAAAGCCCTTCCCATCTCACTAGTTCAATAATCCCTTGATTGCAGACCATATTGTAAGAATAATAATCGTTCAGTGTTCAATGGATGGGCATCAAGAAGACATCTTGCCCACTCAGGGTGCTGTTCAGCCATTTAGATTATTTAATCCTCATACACAGAAGGCCAGACTTCCTCAGCATATGAACAGTATTCTATCTGTAAATGAGCACTCTAGAGAGCCATCAGTATGCTTGGCAAATTATTTTCACAGTATTGTAAGATGCCTGTCTGTGAAGAGAGTGATAGAATCATCTCAAAAAAGCTATGACTTTATATTGCCAATTAGGTCAATTCTGTCTATCTATTCTGCCACAATCAGCAGACTCTCTGGATATAATCCACTCTCTGTCACAATGAACTCAGTGGTTTGCTTAATATCACAGAAGGTAGTGGCAATGCTGGTCAACGAAATTAGTGCCAGCAAATTAAGCATACAATGGTGGCCTGAAAACATTAAATCAATTTTCACAGCCATCTAAACTTAAAAAAAAATGTTTATTTATTTTTGAGAGAGAGAACACGAGTGAGAGAGGGACAGAGAGAGGGAGACACAGAATCTGAAGCAAGCAAGCTCCATATGGGCTCAAACCCATGAACCATGAGATCATGACCTAAGCCAAAGTCAGATGCTTAACTGACTAAGCACCCAGGTGCCCCCATAACCATCTAAACTTTTAATCAGAAAAGACTCTAAGAAAGCAAGAAGATGAAAGAGAAAGGAACGAAACTGTTCCCTAATTTTGTTTTCACGACAAACCTGTAAAATTACATCTGCAGGAATTAGGATTGATAAAGTTAAAAATCCTGCACAAGTTCATACCACAAATAAATGGGTGGCCAGAGGCTTAAAACCTGGTATGTTTTAAGATCTGGAGTCCTTCTTTTCTATGTTATTATTAAGGACTAGGATAGTTGTCTGATTTTATGTCTGATTTTATTGTGATCTGTTCAAACTTTTATGTTTACCTGTATTTTATCCATAGCTGATATGCTTTATAATATGTGTGCCACAATTTTCCTTTATGGATACTTTAAAAACTCATTCATTAAATCAAAGAGGAAGTCTCTCAAATATTATCAAATTTCACTCTTGAGATTATATAGTGTAGAAAATTATATACGTTTAAATATCAATGAAGCCTTTTTCAAATAGAATTTTTATAAAATATTCACATAGAACCTTATTGCATTGGATAAGGAAATGAAACTTATGAAGCAAAAGTAGACATAATATGAATTCTAATATGATATGATAACAGAAATTAACACCAGAGGGAGTTTCTGAGAATACAAGTTGTCAACGTGTGGTAGTTTCATAAGATAATTTTTCTGGTTTATGTATCTTTATGGTTCTTTAACTGAGATGTCAAACAAAACATCTGCTCTGATATTTGACACACCAGGACAAACAGGCTCTAAAATTATGAAGCTTTCTTTAGGAAAACACTGAATTTATTCTGAACTATTCTAGAACCAAGTAATAATCTAAACAATTTCTGGCATATTTGCAAATGCATAGAGAAACAGAAGGTAATTGGGGTGCCCGAGTAGCTCAGTCGGTTGAGCCTCCAACTTCAGCTCAGGTCATGATCTCAGGGTTCGGGAGTTCCAGCCCTGGTCGGGCTCTGTGCTGACAGCTCGGAACCTGGAGCCTGCTTCCGATTCTGTGTTTCCCTCTCTCTCTGCACTTCCACTGCTCTTGCTCTCTCTCTGTCTCAAAAATAAATAAACACTAAAAAAAAAAGAAAAGAAAAGAAACCGAAGGTAATGCAGACTCAAACTTCTTCAAGCTTCAGGGCTCCCTAAATGAGAGTTATACTTACTCATTTATCTACTCTTCAGAAATCCTTGTGATGTGTCTGATGTGACAGTTTTCATCTCTGAGTTAAATAAAGTTAACTCCGTCTTTATTTCCCCCTTCGCCTACCTTCTTCCATGCTGTCTCGGAAGGAGCCTGAATGACTGATGGCACGTGGCCTTTCTTCCAGAGATGTGGCACTCCCACAAAGCTGGGAGTCATCGTAGAGATCGAACGAAGAGTCTTGGGCTGGGATGCTATTTGAGCGCATCATGCTGGGCCCAGGAAGGTTAAATTGAGACAGATTGGTTGGGCTCACTGAAAAACAAAGCACACACAGCCTCGTTATTCTGAGGCTTGGATGATGAAAATAGTAGGTTGATGGAGAGTGAGAATGTGACCCCAATTCTACGGAAATGTGATTTTAACAGGTGTCTCTATTTAAGGTAGGCTGAGAGTCTGCCTCTGAAGTGGTCGATAACAGTTTCAGTGGAGTCCCTCTTTTCTCCTAACACTTTCATGGCAGGCAATATGTCAATTTCTAAAGCAACATTAAACAAAGCCACCAAGCAACCTCTCCTGTTTATGCTAGAAATACAGTAACAAGTATTTCCGGCTGGCAATTAAGAAGAAAAGACTGCCTTCATAGAGTCATCAGGTTTCTTTTAGAGAAGAATACATCTGGGAAAAACAAAAATGAAAAGGAAACACAAGGAATCTAAATTTCCCAAGAAGATCCTTTTGAAGTTCCCAACCAAAGACTTTTAGTCATTTTGAGTTCTGAATTTATGTCAGTTCATGGTCAGCACCATCACTGCTATCAGAGTTAGGTTATAAGAGAAGAAAATAATTTTTTAATGAAATGTAATATACATGGTATTTATAGCTCATCATAAGGTGAATCAATCACTTTTTCTGCTGTGTCTAAGACAACAGTGCCATAGTAAGACTGTCAAAAGTACAAACCTGTTGTTTCCCAAGCAGTACCTTATGTTCATAATTTGAAATACAAATTTATGTACTTAGTGCCAATTGCCAGAGTTCTAGTAACACTCAATTTTTTAGGCCAAATGATGGTCATGAATTTAAAGAAAGATGTGTGATTGACTGAATGTATGACTTCTTTTGAAACGATACTAACTTAAATGTGGAGTAAAAGCAAAGCAGAAAATTAAGAAATATATCATAAATGCTCATATTTAAGACAAGCAAGCTGTTGTAAGTATCTGAGGAAGCAGGCAGGAACCTCTTAAGCAATCACAAAAGCTGCTGGGTGCTTTCAAAGCCTTAAAGAATTTATGTCATTGGCTTAAAATTCATCTGATATCATTTCAAAATCTCCAGGTTTTTTTTTTTTTTTTTTTTTTGACACAGGCACTACATTTCTTAATATATAATGACTGGCTTTCAAAACAATGTAAAATAGGAGGCCTATATACTATGAGGTAGACAAAAGGGAATGCATTCTATTTTCTAGGCACTATGCTGAATATTTAATAGATATTGATGAATTAATACACAGAACAATCCTCTGATAGAGCAGTTGTGGACTGGATTGAAAAAAGGACAAAAAGGGAAAGAAATACAAGACTTAGAATTATATTGTGAGTGCATATTACATATAATAAAAAGTGAAAGAAACTATGGATTTGCAAAGTGTACAATCTGTAGGAAAGAAGGAAAGAAAGAAGGGGGACCAAGGAGAGAGAGGAGAAGGAGTGAGGGGGTGGGAGCGAGGGAGGGAGAGAGGGAGGGAGGAGAGGGAGAGAGAGACAGAGAGACAGAGAGAGACAGAGACAGAGAGATTTTTTTTAGCCAGCAGTGACTAATTCAATCTGATTGCTGACTGACTGCGAATAGATAACACTGAAGAACATTCTAGACTTGAATATTTATGTTTAAAGTACCTGGATTGGAGTAAATCATCCTATTCTATGTTCACAGTATGAACTGTCTCTTTGCTAAATGAATGAAATATTCAACACATTTATAAATAAATGTATTATGTCAATACATATCTAGAGGTTAGAAAGACATCTTATTCACTATTTGGCTTTGCATAATTCTTACCAAAATGGCTGCAGAGCTAGCCAAGTAAATTGTCCTTCTATAATTTCAAAACATAGGACTTAACTCATTCAAGAAATAGGAATGAGGATTAGAGTGAATTTTAAAGCATATAATTTGCCTTTACAAACACTTTTGATAGTGTATCCCTTGGAACTATACCCCTATGCTATTTAAGAATGTTCAGTTAATATCTATGACAGGTCTGATTTTTTTTGGTGCTGTGGTTGCATAGAAAGATCAACATGGCATGGCCCTGAATGCAAGAATGGCCACAGGGGGTAGAGGAGGGGGGCTGGGCATCTGACTGAAAAGTAGAAAAAATAATATGTGAATAAACCAAGAAAAATTATAAAATAGAAGACAAAAATATAATGGAAAAAGAGAATTTCTATAATGGGACACAAACTAGCACAAGCCTTCTAATGGTGGCCTTGCTTTCCAATTGTTTCAGGCAAATATTCCAATCTCTACCCTTCAATTTCTTCACAAATTATAAATTTGAAAAACGGCAGAATAAATGACCTCTAGGACCCATTCAAATCTAGGAGACACATTCAAATTTCTAAATAAGAGAGATGTAGATGTGACAATATATTAGAGAAAAGGGACCCACTGACTTTGCCTTATATTTCAGAGCAAAGCCACTTTTTAAATTAAATTAAATGTTAATTAGTGGTGATTTGAGGAGATAGGAACTAATAGAAATATGGAGTGGGTTTTTAAATACCTCAGAGTCCCTCGACTTTGCTACTATATCTTGACATATTAGTTACTGGGTTTCTGATATTATTTTAAAATAAGAATATTCATATGAACGCTAATTTTAACTTATTTTGTGGAATCTGGGACTCTAAGAACTAGGTAGAGATTCAAGAAAATTTTATTTGATCTTTTAAAGGAAGAACTTCAAAAGTCTAATAAATCTACATTTAGGTAGTTTCTGTTACGGGTGGGTTTAGACAAGAAGCTAGAGCTGTCATAAGAATTTAACTAAAAGATGAATAATTGAACCATAGGTAGATGTCTCCCATCTCCAAGATTCTATGCTCTCATGAGTATAGAAGAATGGGGTTAATTCTAAATAGCTTGAAAGGTGAATATGGAGAGGGAAATAGAAACTTCCCACACAAAGTTGTTTATAAACAATCCTCTATACGCAAAAGGGTCCACAAATACATAGGTGAGAGGCTGATAGTAATGCTTCTACATGCTAAACGTGCAGCAAGGTGAGAAATAAAGCTGAGTAATCGTCACTCACAGCAAGATGACAATGAGTCTCACCAGGTTATGAGATGCCTTGCAAGGACAATGATCAAGAGTAAATAAAGTTTCATCCAAAGATGTATTTTGCTTACTAAGTTATTCCGATTTGTTCTCTTGAGTGGAACAGTTTCTATTATAGGTAACATACATGGTGGGAATTGCACACAAACCAGTTTACTTTGGCAATAGCTTATGGTAGTCTACATATAATGATGTAACTGCAGTTCTCTTAAATTTCTGTTATATGTGACTTTTTATGGCAATATTTCTAAAAATTTTATCTATTAATATATTTTAATAGGTAGGAATGATAAAGAAACACATTGCAAATGCTGACTGTTAGTAGTAATCAGTTGCTGATCATTCAGAAGAGATAATGTTCAAATTGAAAACAAATGATGACCAAAGCAAAATGCAAGACAATGGAACCCATATTCAAGTTAAAAAATTCCATTTGGTGTATTTTTATAAGTTTAATGATAAAATAATCCTATTTATGATTATTTTAATAGTATCCACTGTTTTGCCTAATATGTTGTCATGTATGGGAAGGTCTTCCATCATAAGTATCAATGAGTGAAAATATTGAATATGAGAGTAGAGGCAGTAAGATCAATTTGAAATCTACAGCTATTGTCTCTGATAATGTAAGGCATGTTTTCTAATAAAAATGATGAGGTAACAGAGTCTATCAAGTCTTATACTCTCCTCAGTTTTGGTATACATTAAATCAGTCCCTCATAATATAACCTAGGTCTTATGGGTCCATTTCACAGTTGAGAAAATTGAGGCTAAATGACTTTGTTGAGGTAAGACATAGTAAGTGGTGAGGGTTTTTTTTTTTTTTTCCAAATAATAATGGAACAGATGGATTTCATCAGAATAATATAAATGAAAAAATAGTGGGGTAAGGATTCAATTACTCAAATTAACATCAGGTATTAAAAAGAATGGTAGGAGACATAAGATACCTAGCAAACAGCATTCCAGGTGGTTTGGGTTTGTTGCAAATGTTGCATAAAATTAGAGTTTATTTCATATTTCTAGGACTCCATAAAAAACCTTTTTAATCCATTTTTGAAGATAAAATTTTAAGCTTCTTGCCATGTTTTATAATTACAATTCAAAGTAAGTAAAAGCTATACCATTCTTTGCCATTATGAGGCAAAGAAGTCTCATCACTGTGTAGGTGTATATGTGTAGCAACAAAAACTTTGTGTCTAATAGGAATTCATTAGATCATATGGAACCATGACTGAAATAATGGTTTCTCATTGCCAGAGGCTTATTCTGTGTAGCAGGAAGAGTTACAAGAGAAAAGAAATAGCCTTTGTTGTCCTCACAGGACTGAAAATGTTGAAAAGTCCAAACTACTGAAGAATTTGGACAACCGGTGGGTCCGTTATTAGAAAAAAAAAAAGTTTTGAAGCAAAAAGAAAAAAAATGAGGCTACTTTATATGTAAATTTATAGAACATAAATCTGTTTTTAAAAGCATTGGCTCTATCAAATCATAGCTGGTACGTTTAGACTTTTTTTCTTTATTTTATCATGCTTCCCAATGTTTTCTGTGACATTTACACAAATGATGCTATATGTCATACAAATGATGCTAAGCACACAAAGTAGCCCAATGGTTAAATTATCATTTTTTTTCATTGCACTTATCCAAAAATGTTCCCATGGAATTCTGTTTATTTAAAGGACAGTTTTAGCTTTAAAATGGTATTAATTTTGATCACTTTTAAAGAAGCGATCTTAGAGTCATGGAGTTATGGGTTTTTTTTTTTTTTTTCTTTTTCTTTATATTTTATGCTTCTCTACAAAAGTATGAGAAATTCTGCTAAGGACTTTAAAAAAACATTTTTAAACAAAAAATAAGGAGCTGTTTTATTGGTTTTTAAGAGGACTCTGAGAAAACTCCACAGGCTTGAAGTCAGGTGTTCTGGGATCACTTACTGCTTGTGCCCCTGATGAGTGGAGAGACTTTTTTTTTTTTCCTCTTTTGCGTGAAATGACCTCTCTGTGCCTCTGGACCTAGACTGTAAAGTAACAACAGTAGTACCTATGTCACATTGTTGTCACGAGCAATAACCTGCATAACATTTGGGAAGTATTTTGTGAATAGTAAGCCATCAAACAAATAAAAGGTACTGTTGAGGTATCTTTGTCTTGTCTTTAAGTGAAGAATTTTTAAGAGATTCGAGGACTCCTGTGAGGGTAAGTGGTGAAAACAACACGAGGAAATTGGGTTTAGGCTATTTTACCCAAGTTGGAAAAGTGGTATTTTCCTGTCGCAGAAGATGACATGGCAGAAGGGGAGAGCAGAGGGGACTGGCTGCCAGCATCCTGCAGCCCTCCAGTGGAATGGGAACGCAGCCACTCTTTGCCCTCTTCTTGGTTGGCCTGCCGAGACGATGGGGTATATCTGCAAAACAGCACAGCTAAGACACGTAAGCACATCTACAAGGGCAAGGCAATACCAGGACAAGAAAACAATTGAGAGGAGCTTACTATTCAGATTGAACAACATTCTCCAACAGATTGAATCTAATTATAATTGCTTAGTTCTTCCAGATGATCTGACACCATCTGTTTGAATCTCACAGGAAAAGAAAAATAAAGGATTTTGAAAGGAAAATTATGCTTCTGTGAGATATGTAGTTGAAAATCATAAGCAATGAGCAGACAGCCAAGTTAATTGAGAAGGACTCAAAAGCACAGTGCTTGGAAGGATGTGAAGAGGGTGAAAGCATGGACTAAATATGGCAGACAGTGGAAGGCCAGAAGCCAAGAGAACTGAAGTGATGGATACAGAAAAGCACAGGAAATGGAACACAAACTGACAGAAATTGTTTGGGAAAAAAAAAAAAAAAAAGAAGAAAAAGAAAATAAACGTTTATCTCATTAAAATGCCACTTGACATCATGTCCAGATTTTTTTAAAAAAGAAAAAAAAATGGGCTCACTTTAGTGGAAAATAGATTTCTGAAGCAAAATATTGAAATGGAATAATTAATTACAAGCTGTTTGCTATTACTCAGGGACTGAAGAGGGAAAAAAAAAGATAACAGGGAAAGACCTATTTGGCCAGTGCTCATTTTCACCAGAGTAAGTTCTTAGCATCAAAGAACAGTCAACTCATTGTGTTCATATGTGTTATACCTCTATTCATAGTTCATTTTATATCCTCTCCTCAGATAAGAGTGTACAGTAAAGGATGGCCATGGATTAAATTTTCATTTTAGTTTTTATGATGAACTGAATGATTATTTTGATATTATTACGTAATACTGGAGTAATTCATATCTAAATTGACCAGCACTCCTGAAAAACAGAAATTAAAATTCCTGAGTTTCTACCAAAAGGATTCTGTAAAAATTCATACCTTAATTACAATATTTGTCCTCTGATGATGAAAATATATTTTCTTTGATTCAAATTAGAGCATCCTTCAGCCTTTCAACATTAACTGGCCACATCTGTAGACTATATGGGTTGAGGTTTTGCAAGCATATGCCTCCAAGATGCTAAAGTTAGGGAAGTCAATTTTTTTTTAATTTACAGAAGTTGGGTTCTGAAATCTACCAAATGTTGCTCCCCCCCAAATAATGGTATTTACATTGGATTTAATGAGTCTTGAGCCCTACAGGTATCTCTAACCTGAGGCTTATCCCACCAAATCTTCAGGCCAGAGAAAACATCAGGATGAAAAGTGATGCCATCCTCAATGGCAGATACGTCATTGCAAACAAAGAAAGAAGAGGGAGAGAGACAGCACACAAAGTTTACATAACAACAATGAAAGGCAGCAATTGTGCTGAGAGAAATATATACCTTAGTCCCTTTTTGGGTAGTGTATTTCTGTCAAGCTGCATGCTGTTAAAACAAAGAAAACCCCTAAGGACATAATGTAAACAAAAACCTCAAAATTACACATCCAACAAAAATGATTCACTAAACTACACAAAATAAAATTTCTGTAACACACATTTAATGTTTAACTTATTGGAAAAGGACAACTAAAGGTGACCAGATGTCCATTGTTGTAACACATTCAATGACAATTTAGTGACAGGATCATGAGCAGGTAGATTAAATGACATGTTAACATTATTCCCCAGTAGATTCTATTTATTTCCTCCTATGGTAGTTTTTGCTTCCCTGTGCAACTGACTAGACTCTCACTGTGATTTCATACGTAGGAGAGTCATGTGTGGAAATCAGATAGATCTGCTCTGCCTAAGTTAAAGTGACCACTTCTAATGGACAGAGGAGAGGTAAAACACCATTTGATATTTACTTTTGTATTCAGATTATTTTTATGAAAAACAAAGGCAGATTTATTCTATTTGCATGTAAGAGAAGAAAAATAATATGTAATAAATATCTGCTTGAAACGTCATGTTTTTTGGCACCATTTATTTAAATACTTAATGAAATTATGCCATCTTTTGGAAATTATAAGTTAGGTATTTCAAAGGCTATACATTGTATCAGTCACTATTTTAAAGAATCTCAATCGGTCATAGAAAGAGATGAAAGGATGTGTCTGGAGAAAATGAGAAATGGCCTCTCTAAAAATAGAAGAGGGTGTCAACAGGTAAACGGGACAAGTCTAGGGATTTCTGTTATAATCTCTGGCATGTGGATAACCAAAGAATAAAATTAATTTGAATTTGCAGAATAATAGCTCTCTTCCAGTAGAACCCCCAATGATCAAAATTAAATACACAGGATATGCATGATGGGAATGATATAACACAAATGCAAACACATCGACTTGAAAATCAATCACTCAAAATCAAAGCTAAAATGTTTTCTTCTGTGGGTACTCCATTATTTAGCACTGCTGTAGAAAGCCACCAAAGGCGTTATATGACTTTATTTATAGGGAATGTCCACCTAAGGTAATTACTCAGTTATGTAGAGGCTAGTTCTAGTGTACGTTTTGACTACAGAAGTTTTTTGAATAGTGTGGATAGGCAAACAAAAAGGAATCGTATTGAACAAATATGAAAAACCTGTAAATATGAACTACGATTGTGCTAAAGCATTAATATGGTCACAAGCCATTTTAAAGATGACCTTTGTCTTGTGTGCAAATTTATTAAAGCTGAACATTGCAGAGGAAATTGAAAAGAGGCATTGTTTGCCAACATTATCAATTGTATAACATGTATATGTTTCTAGCACACAGAGAATTTAATGGAAAAAAAAAACCTCAGAAAAAATGCATTTAAATTTGCCAATATAAGTTAAAACTTGAAGTAGAAACATCTGTTTGAATCTGGATATTAATGGTTTTATAATGTAGACACTTCTCACATATCCCGAAAGGTCACAAACTCACTGCTTGCAGGGCCAGCAGGCAGTGGGAATGAGGGAAGTAAGGCTCTCAGCCAGCAGTCTGAGGAGGTCACGTACTGTCTATTTAAAGGCAATAGATGCTGTGCAGAATTGTGCAGGCAAGTTTGCTCCATGTGATATGTAAAAACAAGCCAGCAATTTCTAAAGGTGGTTACTACTTTCAATTATTTTTTTAATGTTTATTTACTTTTGAGAGAGAGAGAGAGAGAGCACAAGCAGGGGAGGGGCACAGAGGATCCAAAGTGGGCTCTGTGCTGTCAGCAGAGAGCCCGATGTGGGGCTTGAACTCACGAACTGTGAGATAACGACCTGAGCCAAAGTCTGATGCTCAACCGACTGAGCCACCCAGGCACCTCAAAATTATTTTTACAGTTTGGTTATTTTACAAAAAAAGAAAACAAACTAAATAAAATAACCGTAAACTGGTTGTGGCTCCAGGGCCATCAATGATCTGGGGCAGCTAGAGAGAAAATTACTGAAGAGCTTTTGGTTATTATTTATTATTTTACGATATTTTAATGAAGAGGAATTTAAATTAAAAAACGACTGATTCAATAACATTGAGATGTGAATATATCAATAAAATATTTGAAATTGTAGATAAACAGGTAAGGCATGAACTTATACACATCTCTATCATATCATTCTAGTTACTTTGTTTTAAATATTTATACTCTAGCACACTTTCTCTCAGATGGCTCTTTGGTTTCCTTAGTGTTCCCAACATGCTGCTCCCTGCTTAATTAGAATTAAGCCAGGATCTCTGATAGGATCTAATTTTCTCTTCAATAGATCATAAACTTTCTTGAATGCACTTTAAAGGATTAGAATAAATTGCTACTGCCTGCAGTTTTGTTTCCAAGAAAGGAAAATACAACCTGTCATATCAAAAATTATTTTGATCCAGTAATTTACTAGGAGGAACTAATTAATATTTATATCACATATTATACCTATGAAAGTATTTTATTGTTCAAATTTAATATTCATCAGTACATTTCACTAAAAATCCAGGGCAAAATATGCATTTACCTAAAATTAGTCTTTTTGGGGCACCTGGGTGGCTCAGTCGGTTAAACGTCGGACTTCGGTTCAGGTCATGATCTCATGGTTTGTGGATGCAAGCCCCGCGTCGGGCTCTGTGCTGACAGCTCAGAACCTGGAGCCTGCTCCGGATTCTGGGTCTCCCTCTCTCTCTGCCCCTCCCCTGCTTGTGCTCTGCCTCTCTCCCTCTCTCAAAAATAAATAAACATTTAAAAAAAATTAAAAAAATAAAATTAGTCTATTTAAGATTTATTTTAGAAAAATTATTTATATTTTTAATACTGGGATACTTCCATTGGTAAAACTGGTCTATTTCAAAAACTGAACAACAATAATAACAAAAGATTTGCTTAAGGAAAATAAGTAACTGCATATTTGCTGGTGTATTTCTAAGTGAAAATATATATTGGCTACTGCTAAAATATAAATCAAAGTAAAATACTAACGTTGCATTTATATCTATAAACCTCAATGTTATCATCTGGTTTGATCTGACGGTTACTTGGTTATAAATAGTTACTTGACTATTTTTGATATCTGAATGCCAAAGAAATAGGTTGATGGCTCAAGAGTCAACTTGTTGCAGCCATATTTATGATTTAAAAAAAATCAGTTTTTTGGAGGGTGATTCGGGTTAATAAAAAATCACCTATTTGCAGGGTGCTTAGTTTGGTTATAAAAGTGTTATTTGGATTTCTCACATATGAGTACACAATCAAAGATACAAACTATAGACTGTTAACAGATTTTCAATATAGAGTAAAACCTTGGATTGTGAATAACTTGTTTTGCAAGTGTTCTGCAAGACGAGCAAACCTTTCTAATACATTTTAACTTGATAAATAAGTGATGTCTTGCAACAAGAGTAGTACGTGATGCCAAACGTCACATGATCAAAACTCAGACAATCGTTCTTGAAATTCGATTTGATAGGAGTGCTTTCGATTACAAGCATGTTTCCAGAATGAATTATACTTGCAAACCAAGTCTTTGCTGTAATTTGATTTACTCGTTAAAAGTTTTGAAAATGACATATGAGGATACCCATTCGCCTGAAAGGGCAGAAACTCAAATCTAAGATGCTGTAGAAAGCCTAACTTCTGAGATAGAAAATGAAATGAAACAGTACTTACAACCATTGTTTTTTGTGTATGCAGCTGGTCTTTATGCCTGCTATCTATCATGAGAAAACTAGAAGGTATATAGATGCAAACACCTACAGTTTAATCTCTATTACCCAGTTCTTTGTCTTGTGTCTCTTGGTCCAGTTATTTATTTATGCAGAAAAATGTTATTTTGTAATTAGCAGCCCACCATAGGAACTATCAAGCATAAATATTTCAGTTCTAAAATTCTTGGGTCAGGGGGATGTCTTATGGGCATTGCTGTCCATGTACCATGAGGGGGCAGGGATGTACGGTGGGATGGAAGCAACGCTCAGCATTTTACAAAGGCAAGAGAAACAGAAGAGCAACGGGAAATCCCGGATTAAGGGACAACCAGTGCCATGTGGTAAGAGCTTTAGTTGACCTTTAAAAAAATGATTCTGGGAATAAGGCTGGAAGTCTGGAAAAGAGGTGATATGTCAGAATGACTAACAGACTGAACAAAAGTTTAGGAAATGATCTGAGGCATTTTCATCGGCTAGTGCTTTTCCCAATAACATAATTAAGACATATGGCCAAGACCATTTCTGAAAAGTTGTAGGTGTGTCAAGAAACAAATAACATTAAGTTAATCTTGGAGAAAGTGGCCATTTCAGGGCATTTTCCTGGGGGAAAGAGTCAGTACCAAAGTATCTGAGAAAGGATTTTTGGGGTGAGAGAATCTAAAGGCATTTTGGTCAGCAGTGACACTTTCTGGTAAGTATATTAGGTAAGGAATACCTTCTTATGTTCTTTTTAAGTTAAAAAAAATCTCATTAAACCAATGGGAAACACCTTGTAATGTGATTTATTCTCAAGGGGCCTATTTTTTTTTAATTTTTTAACGTTTATTTATTATGGAGAGACAGAGAGACACAGAGCATGAGCAGGGGAGGGGTAGAGAGAGGGGGAGACATAGAATCTGAAGCAGGCTCCAGGCTCTGAGCTGTCATCACAGAGCCCGACACGGGGCTCGAACCCACAAACTGCGAGATCATGACCTGAGCCAAAGTCGGTCGCTTAACCAACTGAGCCACCCAGGCACCTCAAAGGGTCTATTAAAAATATCACTGCTGCTACTAATTTTCTCTAAGCATTCATACCTGACAATTGACTTTTTTTTTTCCAATTCAGCTAGGATTCTCCAGTGATCTTTTTGCTATTTTCCCAGAGAAGTGATAATAAAACAAACTTAACATATTGCTCAGAGCATGATTGTCAAATCCATTTACATTCGGTCTTTAAAAATACTCAAATTATCATAAGGAGCTCTGTTATCTTGGAGCTCAGGCCAAATCGTTAACATGTCTGGAGAAGACATCACTTAATACACAAACACAGGCCTTGAATTTTATTCAAATCGCCTATCTGGTATATATGTACGCATTCATATTAAGAAACTTAATTATGCAACTATCCTATCCGTGATGGCTTTTTCCCCCCTTCTACATACTTGGTAATATGCGCAAACAAAAGGCCCGTTAATCTCACATCCCTTGAATCCTCTGTTCCCTTGCGGAGTGGCTCTCCCATGGACCTCAAGGGAATTTAGTGGGGCAGGAGGGTAGGCGCAGCGTAGGGAGGAGGCGGCGAAGACTTCGTCGATGCCTCTAGGAAAGCTCACCTTTCTGAGAGAGTAGATCTCACACTACCCGTTCTCATGAGCAGGCTTTGCACCTCGTGAGCGCCTGTGGTCAGTCCGGACAGGGAGCCATGATGGCTGAGGGGGAGGTCAATAGACTCAGAGCTCGTATGGAGGCTAGTCATGGACTGGTAACTCGGAGTGTCCTTGCTGCCGGCAGAGGAACTGCTCAGATTGGCAGCCCACACGAGACCACCCGAGGTGAAAGAGTGAACCGACGCCGGGCTGGAAGCCAACGAGTGACTTAAGCTTATAACGTCTGTAGTTAAGTCTGAGGGTTTATTGAAGAGAGGGCTGCTGCTGCCACTCAGCCCACCAGCACTGCCCATGCTGCCCGTACCAGACGACGGTGACTCCAGACTGCCTTGCCGCGCTAAAGTGGTACTAGGACTGGGCATTACTGAGGAGGATTTCACACCCTCAGTATTAGGTGCAGGGGCAGATTTGCCACCTGCCTTGGCACCAAACAACCTAAAAGAAAAACAAATAACAACTTCAGTTGTTCCAAGAAACCGACATCCACACTCAATATTTAGGGTTACAGTACACAGAGCCAAGCGTGCTTCGGTGTGCCCAGCCACCAAGCACTTCCCGTCTCCGTGTCAACGAACGTTACGAGCTTGCACTTCTTAATGTCGTGCCAAAAAATGTCTCGTATGACCATAAGGGTCAGTCGGTACTGGGCCGCCGCCCGCGTGGTGGGGGGAAGCGGGCAGAACAAAAGGAGATCAAACATGAAAGTCCCTGGCTTTCACAGTTTAAGTGATCATGAGAGTCTTTCAAGAAAGAGAGCTTGAGCACATTTGCTGGTACCTATTTACAGAGCCATTATAATGAAACAACTTCTACGCATTCGGTACGTAACACTTAAAATCTTTTCTCTCTTTTCTCTCTCTCTTTTTTCTCTCTCTCTTGTAACAGTCTGCTCAAAATCTAAAAGGAATGCTTAAGGCAAGGTTCGGGAGGTTATGTTATGTGACTGGTGGCTTGAGTGGCTGTCAGAGAGCAGTTGGTTAGAAACAATATTGGACACTGTTGGCAACATGTTGGTTTGTGTGCGTTTTCCTCAAGAAAGACCAAAGGGTTTTATGTCAGTTGCCAGTGCTATTCAAATACATATTTATAATAGTGATTTGAAACAGAGGTGGTGCTAACTTGGATGTTGGAGTTCAGTTCAGAAAACATTTTAGTTTTGTAAATGAAGCAGATGATATCATCGAATTTATGTAAATATGGAAATAAAGTGATATGGAGTAATGGCATAATGATTACTAACTAATTAAGTTGCAATGAAATCCATATTTCCTACAGTGAAGTATTTTATGGCGAATATGAGAAATTGTTTCATAGGTAATGGGCCACTGGAGGGCACTATTGGCTTTTATTTAAGCAAGAGAAATAATTACTCCCACGATAAGTCATTATTCTTTCGGATGAGATTCAACATTTCAAAAAGCCAGTTTTTCAGAATTAATATTGCTACTGAGGAATATAACCTCCAGGATTTCAAACAATCATGTAACTGAGATTGCTTGAAATGTAAAAGTAAATGTTTCAAGACCCTTTATTTCCCAGTTTGGTCATCATAATAAAAACAAACATTAAACATACTTAACACGTAATGAACTATAAATCATACTCTATCATATCATAGATGAGGAAACAGACCCAGAGAGGTTCAACCATTTGTCGCAAGTCTTTAACCACATGTATTTCCCTGCCACTTAAAACACAGTAGTATTTAAAAACAATGATATCTCACAGCAGAATTCCACATATTTAATATCGAAGACAGTCCTTGTATAGAAACTAAGTTATGCTGCTTATCAGTCATATAAAGGAAAGCGATGAAGCTAGAAAACCTAGCTCATTCCTTAGTTGTAACCCTGTGTGAAATATCCAAATGTTTTCAAATTCCGTCCATGATATCGTGCCTTTATTTTCATTAATCTGTCAAGATCGGGTACTACATCAATCTGTCCAATGTAATCTTTTACAAGAAAAACAATTTCGTCTACGTTCATGATCATTTGACTCATTAAGAGCCAGCAAGATAATAAACACTGGAAACAAATACCAACAGTCATAAAGGCCCATTTTGCTTTATTTGTAATTGTGGAGAGATGGAAATCTATGGAAATTTTATAAGCGATCACTTAGTTTATCACTACCCCTAGGTATTGCCATCTGCTCTTAAGTTTCTTATAAATGCTGTTTTTATGTTGCTAATATTAGATGAGAATGGAACTGGGAAGCTTGAGCATTTCTCAAAATGAATTCCATTTTTTATTTTTTGCTGGTTATTTACACGACCAGCTTTTTAAAACTCACTGTACTCAGAAACTGAATAAAAGATTCTAAGATTATACATACCTTACAATATACATGTAGGGTATATATACTCAGGATACAGGATTTTGGACACATATATTTTATCGACACACGGTTTACATGTCTCCTACGGCATAGCATACTCTATTTTCCCAGCATCATCTTACACACTCTTACCTTCGGAACGTAGGTGAGGCAATGTCAGGATACTTGGATCCCGGCTGCCTGAGCCCTTGTGTCCCGCAGGCGCTGGCAGAGGTGGGGCTGGATTTGGGGGACCCTGACAGAGAAACGCTCTCTGAATCTGAGACGGCCACTTTTTCCTTTTCCTTGTCTGTTTGGTTGACAGTGACGGGACTCGAGCGCCCTGACCCAATCTTAGTAGGTTCTCTGAGCTTCGAGGTGGTGGCGCCAGCCGACTTGCTGCTGACATTGGAATCAATACTGCTGGTGCTGGACCTGTGGCCGCCTCGGCCGGGGATGCCGCTCGCGCTGGACTTGGAAGGGCGGGGCAGGCTGCGGTACTGCAGGGACGACTTGGAGCTCACGTGCAGCACGCCGTCGTCCTGATTCTGCGAGCCGTCCAGACTGGTTTTCCTCCCGGCGCTGGACTTCCCACCGATGGCAGCCGACTTGGGAATTTTACCCAGTGTTGCCGATCCGCTTGTAATTGTGGCTCCACTGCTCGTGATCATAGTAGATGAGCCTACCCCGCTTGACTTCTTAAATCCAAAAGAGCCGGGAGCAGTAGATCTTCCAATGCCCGAAGGGGGCTTTTTCCCCTCGTCTCCACTGCTTTTTCCTGCATCTGAAGGAGACCTCTGTAGAGATGATCCTTTTAGAGGACTTTTGCCTTTCTCGGAAGCTTTGGCATCATCGGTTTTCCCTAATTAACGAGAAATACACAAATATGCATGCCGGCACGCTTCGATTTCATAATACTCTTTCTCTAAACCATGTGTAAAAAATGTGAACACAACTTTATGTTACTTCAGTTCCGAAATATGGATTAATATATTGAGAGGGTTGAGTACAATGCTATAAAATTATGGCTCTTAGAGGAAATGTGATGACTGATGGAGATAAAATGCAAACACATATTTTTGCAATTTATTATTGTCTTTTATCTCACAATTCTCTTCTTTTATCAGGATAGCACTTAATCTTATCAAGCTAAGTGCCAGAAAAAGAATTCACTTGAATATATATAAGATTATTATATTTAGAGTACCCTGGTACATCATTAATTCAGGTGGCATTATTTAAAATTGGGCACCGTTTCCTTTTTTTCTTTCTTCTAACTTTATTTATTTATTTTGAGAGACAGAGAGAGAGAGAGAGAGAGAACATGAACAGGGGAGGAGCAGAGAAAGGGAGAGAGAGAATCCCAACCAGACTCTGTGCTCCTAGCACAGAGCCTGACGTGGGGCTTGAACCCACAAACTATGAGATCATGACCTGAGCAGAAATCAAGAGTCGGACACTTAACCAACTAAGTGCCCATAAAATTAGGCACCATTTTAAAAACAGGGAGAGAATCTTAAAAAGAAGAAAAAAAATGGTAAAATTTGGCAGAATTATTTCACTCTCTTCTTTCATAAAGTGTAATTCACAAATGATGTTTCAAATCTCCAGAATTCCAACCCATTAGATTAGTGTGATTGTTCTTGCCTCTCAGTGGTGGTAGTAAAAATTAGAGGTATGCTTACCATAAATATTCCCAACTTTCATAAGGAAGTCAGAAAGAATGCAATCTTGTTTTTATTAGGCAGACTTCTTTTATTTGCACACGAACAGAAATGACAGCGGCAGAATAGACACTCAATAGCCCCAAATTATGATGGTGCTCTCTAGAGAATGCCAAATTGTTGTATTCATGTGGACTTCTATGGTAAAGTATGTGAAATTTACATAGGAAAAAAATAACTATACAGAGAAGAATAGGATTTAATTAAAAAATAAAGCTATCATTAAAGAGAACCAAGACTGAATGGAAGCTATAAATTAAAACCTTTTTGCATAACAGCTGTGAAATGACAAGCCTACCAGGGGTCTTGAGTGCACTTGTTCCAGCTTTCTGCCTCGATGACGCTCCCCCTTGGGCAGACATGCCTCTTCTCCAGGAACCTGTCTGGGAGATGGACAGGGAGGCCTTCTGCCCTGTCTTCTCGGGGTCTTCAGGAAGTCCTGAGGAAATAGCCTTCCACTTGCCGCCACTATCCCCATGGCTGTCGAGGTCCTCTTCTGTTTTCTTCAGCTCCTGGGTAGCATCCCATGTCTCATCTGTTGTAGAACGTTTCTCTGAATCTGTCTTCAGCTATGAGGAAAATATTACAAAGAAACTTTGTGCAGAAAAATCTATGAAGTGTGAATAGGCATTGCAATGTACTTTCAGATAACTGGTTAAAAAAAAAAAAAGCAGCACTGATTTATATTTCAAAAGAATCCCAGAGACTCCTATTTTTATCTCTGCCTTCTTAATTTGTTTCATTAATTTTAGTCACATAATGCTCACTTGCACATATTAGAGAATGTCGGAATAAATATGTGCAGAAAACCCCAATTACATACTCCAGAGAGGAAGAAATTTTCTATGTCAAATATAACAAGGAAAAGTAAGACAAGATAAAACTTAATGATCTAATATCCATTCTTGATTTACGATTCTCAAGAGATGTAGTAATTTATTTCAGAGATCAATACAAAATTAATGAAGAACTATTTAAAGTTAGACTATTAAAATATTTTTTGAGTTAAAAAATATCAATATTATAAAAACAGATATGGTAAAAACAAGTCTTTCTGGGTTGGCTTATAATCAATAGAAAAAAATACATATACACAAGCTGCTTCAGTTTATGCAATTATTTCAGATTAAGGGGTCATGCTATATATATATATATATATATATATATATATATATATA